CATTATACCACTATTTTCACCGCACTCATTTTCCATCTAAAGTGACCAATTATCATTACAAACTAAGAACACAAACCTTTAAATCAAAATGCCTTAAAAAGTATTCACATTAATCGATTTTGCCATGTTACAACCACTCACTTAGCATATTTTCATAAGGTTTCACGTGATATACCAGCAGAATGGGACATAATTATGAAGTGGAAGAAAATAGATACATGATTTTTTTTTTAAATAAAAATCTGAAAAGTATGAAGTGCATTTGGATTTACCGCCACTTATTCTGATGCCCATAAATAAAACCAATTGCACCAATTGCTGACTGCAGCTGCACATTAACCCAAACACACCATTGCCACGGTGACACCTGGTGGCATTTTTCTTTTTTTTGCAGGGATAAGGAAGTGACTCAGAGTTGATGTGAAGATATTTGGAGCTAAATAAAGGAAAATCTTTGAAGAAAACCTTTTAAAAACTGAGGCTCTTGTTGACTATACAAATGTTGGGTTATGCTACAAAGACAAATTAACAAGAATATCATCTTTCCATGGCTGGAAAAGACATACCTGATGTTGAACTGCGTGGATACATTAAGTTCATTAATCAGTCATAGCTCGGGTCTTGTTACGTATTATATATTTAATATTTTAAAAACACAATTTGCTTTAAAGTTCACATAATAAAAACTTCCATGCTTCCTTCTTTGCTGAAATTAATTACATGCTCAATTGTCTCACAGAGAAAGAAATCACCTGCTCCACTCCAGTGGTGAACAATTCAGTGAAGAGTGGCAGAGAGGTTTCAGTTCACCATGTTGGAGATACCATGGACATCACCTGTAGCTCTGGTTACCACTTGGATGGAGCACAACAGCTCACCTGTGGGTCCGATGGCCAGTGGCAGCCGAAACTCCCTCAGTGTTTACTGTCCCCTGATAAAAGGCCTGGTAAGAGCGTATGATATTTCTTAGCTAGTCATTTATTTTATTTTTGTAATTGGCCATTAACCATCCCTTTTTATATGAAAGATCTACTCCTACAGTTTATCTTGGGGGAAAAGAAAGCAAATTTTTAAATTAATGTTATTTTAATGGGACGTAATATAAATGAAATGGTTTTATCAGGATCCAAATTTATTTAAATCTAATCTCAAGTGTTCAGAAACATTATTTCCCACTGTCATTATTTCTTTTTATTGTACACAGGTGTGCTGTACAGTGTGTCAAATTGAATTTATCATTGTAAGATCAACGTGTCACATCTATACTAGCTTCAATAGGGCCTTGTTCCCAGTTTCAGTTTAATTCATCTTCATTAAACTGCACAAGGTCAGGACTTTGTGTTGGCCAATCAAGACTTTCCACACCAGACTTGCCCTTGTATGCCTTTAAAGAGCTATCCATCCTCTGATGGACAAAGATGAGCGATGATGTCCAAAATGTCTTGGAATGCTGAAGTTTTAGGCGTTCCTTTTACTGGTACTAAAGTGCCAAGCCCAATTCCTGTCAGGCAGCTCCACACCATAATCCCTTCTGTCCCAACCTTACTTTTGACACATAGCAGTCAGGAAAGTCCTGTTCTGGCAAGTGATGAATCCATACTTAGATAGTCACATAAACATGACTTGTTGCTCTTAGAACATGTCTGCTGCTGTAGAGTCCAGCGGTGACATATTTTACACAATTGCCTCCAACATTTTGTATTTTGTTAAGTAAGACTTGGTGCAGCTGAACACCCTCAGCATGAAGCACTGTATGCACTGTGCTGGATTTAATCTGAAGGTCTGACTGCAGAAAATTGGGGAGTGCTGATCACTGCACATCTCAGCATCTGCTGCTCCAGCTTTGAGATTTTACGAGGCCCATCACTTTGTGGATGAATTGCTGCCACTCCCAATTGCTTCTACTTTGTCATATTACCACTAACAGTTGTCAGTGAAATATCATGTGGAAGGGAAATTTAATGGATGGGCTTACTGCGTGGGTGGATTTTTATCAAAGTACAATGCTGGAATTCACTAAGCTCCTGACCCAGTCTTTCAGAAATGTATGGTATACACCAGTTGCTATGGAAGTGAATTGCACAGCTGTATTATACAATTTGAATGTATGAAAATAATATTTTGACAATTGAGCTGTATATGGTTTACTCAATGATTCCTGAAGGATCCAAACCTGGTCTTCAGGACCCGCTGCCCTGCATGTCTCCCTGCATGCTGTTGCACACCTGGCTTAAATAAATGGGTGATTGCCCGTCTTCTGCCACAAATAGATGCATGCTAATATGGTAAATGAAGTTACGTATGCAGGTGTGCTGGGCTTGGGACCCCTGCTGTAGCAGCAGAATAAGCCCACACCATGAATCCATAATGTGGATACCAGATGCCAGACAGTTGGTATCTGGCATTTGCCTGGTTTTTGCCTGACATCTCTCCTTGGTCTCATGTGCCAAGGAAAATAGTTACAGAATAAGTTAATTTAAAAAAAAAGTTAATTTTATTTTGAGAAGCCTTCCAAAGAAGTCCTCCTTGTTCTTTTTGAAGCTGCTGTCACTTGTTTTTTGACATTTAATACTCTTTAGAAGGTCTTCCAAAACATCTGCTTTTATAGAAGTGGTGACGCTCACTGATGATCGCTTTTCCATCCACTGTATTTTCATATACTTGATTTTTAAACTGTCACCCTGGTAAAGACTAGATCAGGTTTTGTTTTGTGCCGATATGCAATACATTAGATTTTTTTCCCTCCCATGACATGAACTTTTCACCTCTTTTTGAAATACACAGCAGGTGGATGTGATGCACCATTCATTGTCAGCAGCTCCAACGCCAACCTTGCTGACAAGTACATCACTATGACCTCGTTTTCTTCTGGCGACAAAATCTCCTACAAGTGTGATGTGGGATATACTCCAGTGGGTGGTAGCAGGATTCGCATATGTGACAATGGAAAATGGACGCCTTTGAAGCTAAAATGTGAACGTAGGAAACTTTACATTTATCATCCAAGTCATTTTTTCCCAAGTCTTATGTATGCTTCCAGAATACTCAAAGTACTAAATAATCATGTAAATCTGTAGAAGAGAGAGCGACACCCTCATGAAAACCTTTGACTTATTCCTAAAGACTTGAACAATTCTGGTTTGTGAAATTTATGAAAGTGTTTATAATTGTTTCGGAGAAAAAAGTAACTGAATATTTACAAAGTATTTTAGTTCACAAATTTGTGCTTATGATTTATAAATCATTATGTTGCTGATTCACTATTTAACTGACAGAAATAAGCTCTTAAATTTACAACCTTGTCTTTAAAATGATTCTGGAAAAAACAAAAACAATCAGCAAGATTGTCATGAGCCAAAGAGGTTATCAAACTTCTAAAATCAGACAAACACACATGGCTATTTGTTGTATTGAGATTAAATATGAAATGGTTTATTATTTCACCCTCCGTAACATTACTCTATCATTTTGTGTCAAAAGGAAAGCTGTGTGGACATCCTGGAGAAATTTCAAATGGACAGTTCGTCTACACCGGCGTAGAGTTTGGAGATACAGCTACAGCTGTGTGTGATGAGGGGTGAGACAAACACTCCCTGCAATGTTTCCTTATCTCCCATTGTTCTTGACATTTTAGGACTTGACTTTTTTATTGATTTCTCACCAGGTTTATTCTCGTCGGTAAGGCCACCAGGCACTGCGTGAGCAACGGCTGGGACGGTCGTCCTGCTGTCTGTGAAGGTGAGGTCTGCTAACTCGCCTGTCCATTTGGTACCTGTGTATTTGCTAATACATGGAGTCATCTCAGAACTCTTGCACACCCTGCAGCTGTCGAGTGTGAAGAGCCAACAGAGACGACTGCTCAGAGGAGAAATTTCCAGGAGCTGCCATACAGATTCAGGAATGTGATTCAGTATGAGTGCAAAGTGGGGAGTCTGGTGGGATCGAGGGAGATATGGTGCACCAGCAGTGGGACATGGAGCTCACCCCCTCCACAATGCAAAGGTCTTTAGTCATGATTTGTCACAGAGTTTTGGGCAACTTTCTACACCATATGCATCATTCCTTTTCACTAAAATTACAAAATCTCTTTTGTTTTCACAGTTATAGGATGTCGGTCACCAAATATTCCCAACGCCTTCTGGATTAACTTTCACAAGAAAACGTATCGCCCTATGGAGACCATCAGTTCATTTCAATGCAAGTCTGGCTATATTTTTACTGGACAAACCCAAATCACCTGTGGCAGTGATGGCCAATGGTTGCAGAGTCTTCCAAAATGTCTTCCCAGTAAGTACTCTTTGTGATATAAAAAACTAATATGCATAAGATATAGTACAGCATAAGTAAAGTAAATATTTGTTAATAAAATCTGAAAAAGTGAAACTGATATTGATTCATTACACACAGACTAATATATTTCAAACATTTGTTTATGTCAACTTTGAAGCAGAGCTAATAAACCAAATTTTTAGACCAAGATTACCAATAAATATAAAGAAAACTTTTAAGTTCCACTGAATGAATTACTGCTTCAACGGAGAAGCATGAAGATGGTCAGTCTGTTGTTCCTGCACAGATGCTTCTACCTGTTTGCATCGTTGGCTTTGGCGTCTCATCTACCTCTTAATATTCACATAAAAGCAAATCTGAGAACCTACATATTGGATGCTAATTAGAAGTAGCCCACGTGTAACAAAACAAAGATGGCATCTTGATATGTAGATCTGTGTGTAATCAATCTATCCGTTTGACTCTTTTGAAATTCAACATTACTACAAGTGTTGGAACATTTTTCAGTAATGCCTTCAATTTTGTTTTATTTTCCAGGAATGAGGAGGGGCTAATCTGCTGCCAAAAGTTTGATCTCATAATATTTAATCCAATTTTCATACATTCATTTATCAATTACTGTTAAAATCAACCTTTAGTAATGCACTGTTTAATATATTTCCCCTTGTGTACAACCATTACAAAGACATTAAATACGTTGAAAAGGAAGCTGAAGTACAGTATGTTTATTTTTAATAAGTGTCTTGGGCAGTAACAAGTGTAAACCTGTTTGATTCCCCTCTGTACAAAGTTGTTTTTTTCCATCTTTTTTCTCCAAACTGCTGATAATGTATCGTCTCTATAGACTAAACGGTGAGTGAGCATCTTATGAACAAACAAGTTACAAGAAGAAAAAAAAAAGGAACACAAATTGCATTCATTTAAAAAGACAATACAAAAACCAGACATTTCTTTACATGAGCAATAACATTTCAAGTGCAAATATCATTATCAAACTCCAATACATCATAGCAAACTATTGCTTTAAAGGCAACACCTCAATAAAAACCAACAACAACAATAACAGGATGCAGGAAAGAAGCTCTTTCTGGTAGGAAGAGAGGGTGCATGTGGGTCACATGAGCGCACCAAAAAAAGAAAATATTCTGTCTGATGTATAAGTGAAATGTGTATAGGAAGAATTATAAACTGATATAAGAGGTCTGACCCAACAATACCCTCAGATTTGACAGTGAGGGCATATTCCCTTTGTTTAATCCAGTATGGTCCATGGGATATAGTGTCCTAACAAACTAATTTTTATTTACAAAAATGGGGAAAAAAATACATACGTACAAGAGGGCAAGTTTTCTTTCTCTTAATGAATGTCCATGTCAGTAGATTTTTAGGGTCACATATTGACTAACCATTCATTCGTTGTTCCCAGGTTGTTTAAAGTGATGCTGATTGAGGGGCGTCGCCTCCTAAATCTTGGGCTAAAATCTTTTCACTGGGAGGAGCTCAGGAAGTGCCTGGTCATAAAAAAAGTGACATTTACCCCAAACTCAGCACACCAAGTAATCTGTGTCAAAAGGTGATGTTTTTTTAGAAGTGACAATGATGTTTTTGTACACAGGGTTCCCACACAAGCTGGCAAAACATCTGGATTTGAACGAAAAATATTCGTCAGGTCTAAAAATGTGTATTTTCAGACTTTATCAATTTGACAGTGGCATTCAACTCAGTATGTTTATTTATTCATTACTTTTTTATCAGGCAACAGCAATTTTGTGTTTATACTTTAAAATTGAACTAACAAAGGATCAAGAAATTTGGAACAATGAGTCTGGAAAAGTACAACATTTTGAGATAAAAATGAGTAGGAATCCTGTGTCCAATACCAGACAAACCTGATCTTTTTGTGAAATCTCATGTAAAAAACAAATGAGAAGATTTCCTCAAACAGTATTTCTGGCTGAGGCTTATACAAGCCAGAAGTGTTAGATTTTCTCTACATTTAAATTATGTTACCCTGTTTAGTCACTCTTACAATTTGTTTCACTGTACAAACCAAATTGTTACTTTTTTACATTTAGCTAGTTTTACTTTATTATTTTTCCATTTACGCCTAAATAATTGATGACAATATTATTAATAGATGATTAATAGTCTCAACAAGACCACAACTCAAAACACATTTTGCAAATTTCCATATGGGTCGCAACTGAGTGGAACCATTTTTTTTTTTCCTTTTTTCATTGCACTTTAATAAAAACAGAAGGGACGGTCGGTTCCAAATCTAGTGCAGGAAACTACTCGAGCTGCCCGATCTGAGTGGTCTTTGGAAGAGCTGTCTTCATTGGGACAGGACACAGAGTGAGTTGGGGGTGTTGAGTGTCTTTGGATTTGAGACTAGTGGGACCTCAGAAGTAACTGGAACTGGGAAAAAGTGTACTGGACCTAAAAATCAGGATCAAAGATTTCAACCCTCGACTAGATTAATCTCACTATTTACAAGACCAAAAACAAAATAATCCGTAAATCCACAGATGAGTAATGAGAGATTATCAACTTACTGCTTGTAAAAAAAAAAAAAACAGAATTATTATGGATTCTGAGCTTCCCTTTTTTAAACCCTACAGAATATCAGTATGAAGAGTACATGAGAAAGACAATGAGACTGAAGAATTAAAGTGACCTTTTTAAAAAGAAGCAGCAAACATAATGTCCCACAGAGACATTACTCTCACTCTCTGAAACATGTTTCCACCAGACATCACATCATCCCATCTCTCACAATCATTTATCTCCCGAATGTCCGCTGGGTTCCATGGAATGACAAACCACACTTTTGTGTTTGCTTTGTAGATGGGTTGAAAAACAAAAAAAAAAACAAAACAAAAAAAAAAAACGACCAGAAGAAATAACCCGGAGGTTGGGAAACACGGGTACAGTCTAAACAGACGGAGCAAAACACGGTTGAACTGTTTTAACAGTTGGAAAAGGCTCTAAGAGCTCAAAAAATACAGCCGGGCTTCAAAGGAGCTGGAAAACTCAGGATTTAAGTGACCGCTCCTCCTTGAGGACAGCGCTCAGACACCAAGGATGGCACCAGAGTTACACAACACTTTTACACAACACAAACAGTCACACTTAATGGTAGGAACTGGAGCAAACACAATAACAAGCTCTATCAGGCTCAAACCGCACACACAAAACAACACTCCTACTGTCTGAAATAAGCTTTTTTTTTTCTTTCGTTATACGTGGTTCCATTGCACAACACAACAGAAACCACTCACATACTCAACATTCCCACTAAATGCTAGAGCGCAGGAATACAGACCTGGAGACAGACAGAATAAACCTAAAGAGCAAACAGGGTTACGACATGTCGGGCAATTCTCAGGTCTGCTGAGTGAAGAGTCTCATAGGGTTTGTGTTAAGAAGTCCTGGAAGAGTTGTGGCCTGAAAGGTGGCAGGGAATGTCGGGAGAGGAGGAGGGAGAAGGCGTGGGCCGGTGGGGCGGGTGTTGAAATCCAGTACCTCTCTGCAGCTGCAGGCTTTTACTTGTAGGGCCGCAGGAACGCTGACACTTTGCTGCTTATGAGACGGATGAAGGAGCGTGGAAGCATCTCGTTGGACTCCCGAGTGGTGTACTTAAAGTAGTGGTTTGGGTTGGCCAGCACATCAAAAAGAGTCTTAATCAGTTTTTTATCCTGCAGAAAAACCCCCCAACAACAATCAGGTGTCAAACATAATTTTTGCATTAATCATTTAAAAACGCCCTCATAACTGACCAGTTCTTTAGAAAAGTGTTGATACTCTGAGTATTTTTCTAATTTTGTCACATTACAAGCACAGGACTTTGCTTGTGAAGTGGCAGGAACATGAAAATCATTTTTGTGTACTTCCAATCCCCCCTTACACTGAATACCCTGAATAAAATTCACTGCAAATAACCAATTTAGTAAATGTGATCCTTTTAAGTGCAGTTTATGTGTGGTGAAAACCTAACATGTTACATCACTACATCCACACCATCTACATGGTGGTGGCAACATGATGCTGTGGGAATCCTATGCCTTTCTTTAGAAGGAGCAGCAAAGCTCCTCAAGAGATTATATAAAGATGAACAAAACTAAATACAGGATAAGGGTTGAAGAAGACCTCCAGAGATTCAGCCATTGCTACGGCTCAATTGTTTACATCAAAGCATAATCGAGTGGTTGAACGGCCCAGTCAAAGGCCATGAATAAATCCATTTGAGAATTTGCAATAAAGACTCATACATCTTTCATCCAATTTGGCTGAGCTATATTTGCAGAGAATTTCACTCTCTAGATGTAAAATTTGACACACCTCAAAAGGCCTGCAGCCACAGTTACTGATGAAAGATTGTTTCTACAAAATAGATTTTCAGATATTTATTTTAAAATTAAAAATGATCATTTTCCACTCTGAGTATGTCTATGATATAAAACGGCAATAAAATACAGAAATGTTTGCGATTGCAATGTAAACAAATGTAAAATAAAAATAAAAAATAAATAAAATAAAAAAATCCAGGATGTGTGAAGATAGTTTCGACAAATTACACAACTAGTATGACAATGCTAACAAATATTTTCCATATTATTCACCTTAGATTATGTTCACAGAAAACAGTTTTGTTTGTTATTAAAACTCACAGCTCAACTGAATCATCCTAAATCTGATTGCATCATCTACAAACAAATGACTAACACCTAAAAAACGGCACAAACCTTCAGAATTTCTTGATGGTTTTCTGAGGCGTAGAGTCTTCCATCTCGCACAATATCTTCCACAAGCTGCTCATAGTCCTCTGAAATCAAAAAAAGCAACACGAAAGATCATCAATGCAAACCATAATGCATTTAGCTGTTTAAATAATATAATCCATAATACATAGTTCCCCTGAAGGAACTATATAGGAACTTTTAGCTCATGTTACCATTGTCTGCTGGGATGTTTCAGATCATTTATTGTGACGAAAATTATGCTGAATCTTAAAAGTATGTCATGACCATGAACAGATTAACACCTTATTCACTTTTCACAGGTTAGCATCTCCATTTTAGAAATCAATGGATTAAAAGATGTACATATGTGATGTTAACCAATCACAACACTGCGAATACAAAAAATGTATTTGTGCCACTTCAGAATTCACCAAAAATTTTTTGGATTTGTCTTCATCCCCTGGATCCTGTGACCTGTGCAGTGGGACTGATCATCTGCAGAGGCCAATGCTGGAATCTGAATCTCTTTCAGTCGAGATGCGAGAGTTAAAGTAATTTTAAAACATTTCATAAGTAAAGTAGCTGAGTTGATGCTATTTTAATACCTCACTGCCCATAAAAGCAAGACAAAAACTCAAAAGCTGGAGAATGTTGTGAAAAAGAAAGTTAATTACTCTGTGCAAACTTGTAAATTGTATTTTTCCATTTTCTAACAATATAAAAACACAAGCTCTGGTTGAGACAGAGGAGGACTAAGTTAACTGAGTTTAAATTATTCATACATCTGACAGATTAGATTTGTTTCTGACAGGAATTGAGACAGGTTCTCTGAAAAATTATAAAACGTAAAACATGTTTTTATTGATATTTTAAAAAGCTGGCAATATCTATTTAAATCTTTCAGTGGAAAAATCATTATTGGCAATACTGCAATGAAACTGTCATTATAAGCTTTAACTGTCTTTGTGCATATTTCCTCTGGTATGTTGACAATTTATCTTTGGCGATGAGCTCATAATCTTTAAAGTCAAAAAGTCTCTTTTGCCATCACCCTAATCTTTAACTCTCTCCACATATTCACTATTATATTCAGTCTGGACTCTCACTGTGCTGCTCGAACATGTCATTTTTACTTCCAGTCAGAAAAAATATTACTTTACGCCCTAATTTTCCAAAGGCTAAGGATGATTTTGTATTCAACTGCATGTGATGTTTTGCAGAAGTAACTATCTACTAAGGTGAACTAGGATGCTACGTACCATCATAGGTAACATAAGGAATCTGGAAACCTCTGGCGCTGTTGGCCTCATTAGACTTGAAGTTTATCCACAGACGTCTGGAGCGAGCTGTGAAGGCGATGGGCCGCTCGTATGTCTGACAGGTCTCGTAGGTGGTGATGGATGTTGCTGACCCTTGCACAAGCACAGATAATCCTTCCTCATATTATTTATGCCCTCTATTAGCTCTAATGAATTTCAGAGAGAGAGAAAACTCACAGTTCTTCCTCATGACCAGAACATCGCCACACTCATCCTCTGAGGGCAGGAAGATCTCCGGCACCACGATCAGGATCTTGCGCTTGCTTGGTGGGTTGATATTCCAAATACACTCCACGTTATCAGGGTAGTTACCAGGATAGTTAGGTGACTCAATATAACCCATTAGCTCGCCCATCTCACCACCACATTGCCTGTCTAGACAGACAAAATTGGGCCATGTTAGACTGTAGCTAATATTATTTTATTAACAAAAATAATAATAATAAAAAAACATATGAAGATTTTAGGTCTTAATGTTCCAACTCACTTTTGCACTGCGAGACACTTGTGGCCCCATCAAAGTCGGTGGTGGTGTTTCCCGGACAGGTAATGCAGTAATTCTGCCTGAACTCTGTCTGATACGTCCCCACTGGGCAGCGAATACAGCGGTGGACAGTGGTGTTGTAGTAATGACCTGGAGAACACTGGACTGCAAGGTGGAGTAACAAAAAAAACATTAATTCTGATGAAATTAGTTTAATTAACTTCATTTATGCACAGAAATTGTTTCTATTCTGTTGCATTATTGTTTGAAAACTGAGGTGCAAAGTAAATACCGTAATCTAAATATTAGTGCTGTAAATCGATTACAAAATGCATCAGATTAATCACTATGTGTAACTTTCTAAGCTTGAAGTGTAAATATGGAGGTTGTTTAAGAAAGAGTTATATTGTCTTAAACAAACATGTCTGAAGATTCTCAGTTTTCGAGGTGTTTATTAATGACTCTGTTAATATACCATTTGACACTGTAATGACAATTAAGGACATTTTCAAAACTGTTGCTACTTGTTTTACACGAGGTAAGAGTTAATATTAATGACACTGTAATGACTGCTATTAAATCATGAACTACTTTGTTTCATGAAATCTCAAGAAAATGCCATATTATTAGTTTGCGGCTGTACACTGTGCACTTAATGTAAAGCTTTCACGAGCATACTTCTGCAAACTATTGTAACACTAGTTTACAAAGCTCATCTCAGGGAATGGCAGGCTAGGAGGAATGTAATAATGTTTCAATGAAGCAGTGATTCAGTGAAATAAAATATTTGAGATATTTTCCAAAACAAATCTGACCTTTGACTTCACAGTCATGAAAGGAGCTGGCACCTTCCCGCTTCGTGCTCAGGCCTCCACCGCAGGGGAAACAAAGTGTCCTTCCCAGATCTGGCTGGTAGGTGCCCTGAGGACACGGCTGGCAGGGTTTGAAGCCATCGCTGGAGAAGTAGCCAGTCGAACACTGGCCTGCATTTGATTGAAGGATCACAGAACATGGTTGTTGAACATTTCTATGAACTGCATGAGATGAGATGGATCCTCAGTTTAATTCACCAGCACAAGAGGAGATGTTTCGTGCTCCAACTGCCCCATGTCCATCACTGCCAGGGCAGAGGTCACAGGCCAGCTGGCCCTCTTTCTCCTGGAAAGTCCCGGGTGGACACTGGACACAGCGCTCCTGTCCCCCGTGGTAGTAGGACCCTGGTAGGCACATAACTGGGAAAAAAACATGAAAACGTACCACAGTTGAGAGATGACTCAGCTTCAAAAAGAATTAACTGAGCTTACTAGTCCAGCCTTACCACATCTGCCATTGACCCGCTCCCAGCCTGGGGCACAGTGGTCCTGAATGGGTGCAACCTGAGGAAGCTTTTGGGCCACTTCATATTCCAAACCAGCAACCCGGATCAGAAAGCGCTCTTGGTTGATGGACTTCTTCAGAGCCTTGATGTACGTTTTCACCTGCTTCTCCATGCGCTGCCGTAAACAGCTGAGGTTGCAGCTTCCTGATCAGTAAAAAAGTTCGATTTAAAAACCTTTTGTGACTCAGAGTAATGATGAAACATGTTGTCTGGATAACAGGATCAACATAGAGCGGCAGTGTGATGACTTACCTGTCGTGTCTCCAGGTTTGACTTCAGCTTCCAGCTCCAAAGTGATGCGTGTTACTCCTTTGTTAGAGGGATTGCGAGCATGTCGCCCTTTAGCTTTCTTGGAGGAGTCACATGTAAGGTTAACAAATGTTACCTGGCAGTTGCTGCAAGGCTGCCCCCCTCCTGCAGAGACAACGTTATTGAAAACCACGAGAAAGCACTGCACACCACTGAAGTTTAAGTTCAATCACATTATTCTAACACTTTTTTCAACGTTATCACAAAAGGACTCGAGGCAGTGCATCTTCTGTCTTGAATCTAACACATTTCAGTTTTTTTAAACAATCTAGGTCTTCCATCTTTTATAAATGATATGTGAAAGAGAGATGATATTGGAGTTTCTGTTCTGCCTTTGTCAGGTGACCTGCTTTGAAGATTCATCTCAGTAACACTGAAACACTGGTCAAATTTTTTTTTCCTCAAGAATGCAACTTGCTGTAAGTTTTCCATGATCACCTAAACTTAACTGAGACAACCCCATATTGCAGCGGCACTCTAAAGACGAGTCCAAACAGACACAGATAACTTGGAAATCCATTTTATGCACTTTGGCCTTAAATCTCGCTAAAAACTCTGACCAAAAAGAATATTTGAGAAACTTTTATTGTGTATCCTTAGGAAAATGGATATTTTTTGCAATCTGCAACAAATAATGCAGCAATTAATCCACGTACTTGCTTTGACATGATTCCAAATCGACATGTAAAAGTAGTTCCACCTGTACATCTGATGAACACGTTTCTTAAACCAATTTTTGTGTGTACATTTTATTTTGTAAAATGAAATGGATGAGACATTAATTTAAAAAAAAAAAATCGATTAGATGTGTACAAAGCATAAGGCTCAGCAGAAACTCCTTTTGGAAGAAAAAATTACTAGACTGATGAACATAATCGCAAACAAACTAACACTTTGTAATACTAATGCACAACTTTAACTTTAATTTTAAACCATATCTGATTTCAAATGCTACAGATATTAACTTTATTTTAGTATCCGATTGAGACTCTTGTGTCACTCGGCTTGGTAGAATTTTGATCTTGCGCCATCGGTGCAGAACAACAGACATTAATGGAGACTGACCTGGTCCCAGTGTCCGTCCCCTGTCCTCGGTCCTGCCTGTCAGCTTTGGATGCAGGTGACATTTGGCATTTTTAATCTTGAAAGAAGCCTTCTGTTTCACTGGAGGCGCCAAAGTCTCTACAGACAAACACAGCCTGGTGGGTGGAAGGACACTGAAGCATCATGCTGCTACCAGCAATCAGACGGAAACCTGCGATAGTTCATAGTATGGGTTTGATTTTAAATAAAAACCAACAAACCTACGCAGCCTTGAATGATGCTGGAGTTGATCCTTGCAGGGGGTTTGCCCGTGAGAATCGGGATGCCGCAGCTGACTGAGTAGCTGTTATTTGTCCCTGAAAGAGAGTGTGCCAGACCAAGAACTGTTGATCAAATGTCTACAGTTTGGTGTTTTGCGTTGGTACCCTGAATCGGTGTCATATATACCTGCCAGATAGTAGGCTTTGGAAGCACAGGTGAGAGAACAGCTCTCCTTTTTGCCCGTCCTGCTGCAGGTCAGGGTGGCTTTTGGTGCCACAAGTCCAGGAGGACATTTCACCAGCTCTACAAGAGAGAAAACTAACAGGTAAATGTCCAAAACTGCACAACAGCCGCTGCATTTGCAGCTACAATTATTTGACACCCACAACATATCAGATTATCAGCAAAATGCACAATTGTTGAGGCATTTGCAATAAACAGATTATACAAAGATCATTTAATTAGCCAAAAGAACTCATAATACAAGGATTACATTTCAATTCAAGACCAGATCATACATTTAGTGAATATTTGCAAATTCAGTACCCAAAAGTGAATACTTCATAAGAACAGGCACTCGTAAATCATTCCACAACCAGAGACGGAGATAGAGCAAATCACAGGCTTCATAAATTACATCAGACGTCCTTGAGAACAGATACAGAAAAAATGGCAAAGGTCCTGGATTTTTCTACAGATTCAGCGAGAAGCATAGTAGCATAGTCCACAAATTTCACTGTCATGTGAGCAGTGGGTGCACCACCTGGTGGCAGAAAGAGGAAGCCATCAGTGGCACCAGATTCCAGAAGAAGCAGGTGGTCAAAAACCTTTCAATGACCTGCAGAAAGACTTGGTAATAGCGTGCACCGAAGGTTCAGCTTGCATTAGCCAAAAGGCTGCTGCTATGAGCAGCAAGATGTCAAACTCAATGGAAGGAAGTGAATGCTGAAAACAACGCCCTGCCCACAGTGAAACATGGTGGTGGCTCAGTGATGCTCTGAGGCTGCTTCATGTGACACTAGGAATCTGAAGTATGTGGAAGAAAAAGAAAATATGTGGTTACATGGTTGCTTGGAACATCCTAGAAAATAGAGTGGCCATGATAGCTTCCTGAACTCTTACAAAAATGTAAGATGTAGCTGGTACTTGAAAAAGCACAGAGGAAAATAACTCAATTTCAGATATTGAATCCTGAGTTATGGAACAATATATTTTAGGAACACTGCCAGAAAGTCATATCTGCGAATGAATCAAATTTCAGCAGGTGTCAAACAGCAAAAGGTTTCCCTGCTAAGTCCTAAAAATGCTTGATATGAAGAAGTTGAGCAACTTAATAAATAACAGTTGACATTAAAAGTATCTCTCTGCATTCAGTTTGGAAAAACCACTCATAATATTAGATGTGTCAAACTTTTTAAACTAGTAGCTTGGGTATTTTGTCGGGGTTGAACAATTTTAGGTAAAACAGGAGGCACACACACACTCCTAAAAAAGCCACTAGGGGGCACTGTTGTCACATACCAATGCAGTCCTTCTTGTTCCAGTGAAGCTTGTATCCAGACGGACAGGTACACTCATAGCTTCCCAGAGTGTTGATGCAGCCGTATTTACAGCCTCCACGATTGATACTGCACTCATCAATATCTGCGAAAAGACGCAGTGACAGAAACGTTTTATGAACAAGCATGACAGATTTGACCTAATAGGCACTACTGATTTTTAAAAGAGCAGACTTAAAGACAGAAAAAAAATAATGGCAAAGGAAGTATTAGGAAATAATATCACCAGAGCAGTAGATCTTGTAGAAAGTAATGGCTTTCTCCAGTTGTAAAGAGTTCTTCTATGATTGCTTCAGTTCTCCTTGTTGGTTTTGAATGCATGGCAGATTAATGTGTTTGCGTGTAAACAGAAATGAATTCTTGTTTTGATGTCACCCACATTCAATTTCATGGTCAGAAGTTTTCGGGCTCTTGGGGAGGAAGACGTGTGGTAAGCAGTAAATTATAATCACCTTTTCAAACACATGCTGAGCTAAAACCACAAAAAGCACCCGGGATCCAGATGGAGTCTGACTGCATTCGGGGCCAGACAGAGAATTAGGTTGCAGGGCTAAGCTGAGGTCTTTAAGCGGGCCGCGGACAAGTGGCGCACACATAAGGAGGAAACAGACGTAGATAATAGCCGTGATTGATGATCTGGCTTGCTGATATGAAAAGCTCCTCCTTGTCTCATTTAATTATTTACCATGAAAAGATAAAAACAGCCTGTGTTGCTGCTTCACTCTCTGAAGGAGATGATGACTTCATCAACAGGGCGAGCTGCTTGAAAACATTGTGAGGAATGTGCTGCTCATCCTTCGCATCAAAGCACTCAATTTAAAGGACAAAGACCTTTAATGGATATCTGATGGAACAGGAGCTCATCTGCCAGACTTCTTTTATCCTCAAATGCTGCATTCCAACATTTCTCCAGATCTCTGTGCATGTTCATCAATGCTGAGACAAGCCAAGGGAGGAAAAATCCCCGAATTAAAAAGAAAGATAAAATGACATTCAGACACCCAAGCGTAAGAAGTAGGAGTTTCTGGATGAGTAGGTGAGTTCATCAGAATGTCATCGAATTTAAATTTCAATAGGTTTTCCTGTGTGTTTTCATTAAAAACCTCAAGAACTTAAAAAGTGGGTTTAAAAAATAACAGAACAAACAAACATCCTAATCAAAACCTAAGCAATTTTCTTATTAACAATGCTTTGCAAATCACAAACTGTTACATTACAGCCATGTGTGATTTCATAAATACTGTTGTCCTGTAAAAGTTTGTTTGGGAAAAACGTTAATGAACAATTACCATAATAAAGACCAAGGAACACACTCGACAGGTCAGGGATAACAACATGGAGAGGTTTTAAGCAGGATTACTAGTAATCCTTTGTTGGTCTCATCGAGCGCTGTTTAATCCATCATTTAAAAACTGGTAAGCGTACAGAAAAACTGCAAACAAAACAAGTGACGGTTATCCACCTAAGCTGACAGGCAGGGTCAAAGAGACCCTAATCAGAGAAGAAGCCATGAGGTTAATCGTAACTCTGACAGGAGCTGGAGATATCAGGTGGGAATCTCTCCACAGGGCAGCTATTAGTTGTGCTCTTGGTAAGTCCCCTACAAAGGGCTGGGGAGCAGAAAGCCTCCATGAGAATCCCCATTAAAAGTTTACCTCAAGCCTTGCAGGAGACACAACAAACATGTGCAAGAAGCTGTTCACATCAGATAAGAGCTAAGCTGAGCATTTTGGACAACATTCAAAGCTGAACGTGTGGCAGGAAACCAACACTGCTCATCAACTTTAACACACACTATCCACTGGAAGCTGCTGGGGGCAGCGGCATGCTGTGGAGATGCTTTTCTTCAGAAAGCAATGATTGAACAAGGCAATACAGGCAGAAAATCTATTGGATTACAGATCATATACAGCAATGGGAGGATTTAGATCAAAGGATAACTACATTTCAAAAGCCAAAGTCAAAATTCAGACTTAAATTCAGTTAAGAATGTGAGGCAAAGCTTAAAAATGTATTTTCCCTCTTCAGCCAATCTGTCTGAGCTTGAACTGTTGTGCGAAGGAAAACTTGTTGACAGAAGGCCACTGACCTAGTTGGCTTTGTTAAAGGCAACTATTGTCAAACACAGATCGCCGCTGTCCTGTACAGCCGTATTCCAGCTCCTAAATTACAAAGGAAATAACATAACCTTATTTGTGCAGAAGAAGGAGAAGTATAACTGGGAGCACCATAAATCTCAGGGGTTATCTAACAGTTGTGACAGCAGTGCTGAAGAGAGAGGCGAAATCATTCATCAACTTCTCGCTCAACAATAGTATGGAGAGCCATTTACTTGAGACCATCTTTACTCTTCTCAGCAGCCCAGCGGGCCCTGATCGCCGTCCATCAGGTGAGAAAAAACCTCGCAAATCCAATCCAGGGGCATTTATTCCCGGAGCTGACAGTTAATACAGCTTCCTGTCTGTAGAACGGATCTCTTGAACCTAATAAACCTGGATACAGCATTGTGTGTGAATGCAGAGAAAACTTTTTTCATCACAAGGCAAATTCTTCAAAAACATAGAGGCCATGTTTAAAGTTTAGTTTTTAAAGTATTTCTGTCTCTTTTTCTTTTTACCTGACTTGACTTCTTGGGGGGTGTTTTAAATAAATTTAATAAATACAACAATATATTAGTAGAACTGTTCAGTGAAATAAAATAATTAGAATAAATCAGTGCAAAGGAATATATATTTAACATACTTGGTGAATACATATGCCTCTCTGAGTTGTAGAGAACATCAGTGGAGATAAAGTTTTAACAATGTGATGTATTAGTGATGTCCAATTCGGCTCATTTCAATGTCAGCTTTTTAAGACAATAAATTGTCCTGTGAATGGTAATAGCCAGGTGAGATAAAAGTATTGTATCAATTCGATTTGTAGCTCCCTGGCAGGCAGTTTTCAACTCACAGATGTAGAGCGAGATGCCATTTACTTTATGGATTTTCTGTCATCCGGGTCGCCTGTCAATACTTTGGAAGTTAAGTCATCAGACTCTGTATTATGTGACACGTTCTGCAACATGGAAAAGATTGCAAGGGATAAAACATGTCAAAGTGTGTGAATGAGGTTCTGTGTTTTTGATTTTAAATGTATCATAACCTGGGAAGCAGATTGTATTTCTGATGAGGTGCTGAGATCTTTGCAATAAAATGCTTGGAGTGTTGCCAACCCTTTGTAAGATTGACAAGGATATAACTCGGGCATGAGGGTAGCATGACCAGTTCTGCTTCAGAGCATCTGATAACCATGAGCTACATGTGGTGACAAAACTGTCACTGGTGTAAAAAAGGTTCCTCCAAGAACCCTTAACTACCCAGATTTCTGATGCCACTACAAAAAGAATCCAAACAATCACTACAAATTTTCTGCATAAGCAAAACAGTTGGGGAACACTCACCCACTATCCTGGGTAATCTAAGTGGACCCCAGAGAATCTCTGCAGACTCTCCAGAGATTCAAATATTCTCTTAACTGAATGTTAATTTCAGACTGCAGAATTACTCTGGTGTAAAGAAGGCTTTCCTATTTGCAGAGGCTGACATAAAGGCATGGGACAGCACTGTCAGGAGTGAAGATTGTTTTGAAGACTTTAATTTGGTTGTAAACCAGTGCATTAAAAAGTACTAGGAAGGAAAGTTAAGGAAAACGTGTTCATTTCATAAGATTGAGGTAGTCATGAAACACAATTGAACTGCAAGCTGCAAATGCAACCCAGATGACAGTGATGGAAAATCAAAAATAGTTAAAATGCATCAACAGTGGATGGCAAGTGTTTGACAGACATGTCGGCTCACCTCCACAGTGGGCCAGGCCGTACAGGACGTAGCCTTTATTACAGAGACACTGGAAGCTGCCAGCGGAGTTGACACAGAAGTGGTCGCAAGCACGGTCGAAAGAGCATTCATCAATATCTGCAAAGACAAAAACACAAAGCAATGAAAAATTTGTTAAAGCAAATGAATCTGGATTTTCTGCCGTCCCACCTTCATATCATATCTTTTGTTCGTGAAGCTGAAACTGACAAACTTCTCCCTTTTCTACATTTTAGGCATGCTGTTGATGAATCAGTGTCAGTCCAGCATCAAATTAAAAATGAAAAGTGCTTTAATGTTGTATCATTTTTACTATTGTAGACTACAATGCAGCTTTCAGGGGTTTCTGTCTTTCTAATTTCCCCTTTTCATAGCCAAAAATGCATCTTCCTGTCTGTCAGTAGGCTCTCATAAGCCAGCATGCCATTAGGACTTCTGATGAAGTTCTTCTTTAATATCAGTGTCAGTCTTTGCCAAGCTCAGGCAGCACATGCTGGGAGAAAATAGGGGTTTGCAACAACTTTCCGAGATGTTTAATTGGCTTGTTTATTAAAGTTTCCCTGGATTTTCCCAGGAATATCATGCTTTCATCTGCTGTAAAGTGAACCTCCTCTAGGTTTTTAAATAGCCCCAGGTGTCATCAACGACATTACAAAGGTATTACCCTGCAACTGCAGAAGTATTCAGAGCCGCTGAACTTTTCCACATTTTGTCAGGTTACAACCACAAACTACAATGCATCTAACAAGCAGTTTATGCAACAGACCAACACAAACTCATGAATATGGGGTGATCTCTAGAAAGTTCAAAGCTGACAAAGAGATACTCTAAACAGTAAAATATTAGACAGTTTTTATCTCATTTAATGGGTTAAAAAGCAGTTTAGGTAAAACAGATATCTAAAATTTAAATGTTTTAGTGGACTTGTTGAACTCCAACACCGCAGAGAGCTCTTACTGATTACTGATGACGTCTGGAGTCCTGATGGCTCTTCTTGTTGGCACACACTGTGTGCAACGCTGCAAAAAAGTGTTTGTTTTCGGCAAATTAAGGATAAACTTTACTCTAAATCCCAATGGAAAATAATCATCGTGAGTGAGTTTATCCCTAAAAGGTTTCTTATTGCAACATTGACGCCACAAGTGAATCTGTAACTTATTATTACATAGTTTAGCATTAACCCAAAGAACAGAGCGTTGACGATTGCTACGACTCTTATTTACAAGGCTGCAAAAAACAAGTTTCCATTCTTTCTAGCTTTCGGCTAGGTCTCATTGTTTTTTTTTAAAAGGGGTTGATTAAAAGAAATAAATACATTTTGCTTGAATTCCAAAGACATTTTCTTTGTCCAGACAACATGAATTCTGACGACCTTCTTCTTAAATCCCAACATATGTGGATCAGGACTTTAAAGAAAAGCTGATGGGAGCTTCACATGAATGCTCCGTCCAGACTTACAAACCAACAAACACTAACATAGAGTTTAGTGCTTTTACCCTACACTCCAGGTTTGGTGTAAAAACTAAACCCGAGGTTTAATTTTTATACCTCAACACTTCAAATGACAGCAAATGTCTGGATCAGTGCAACAGAACCCATCCAGATTACAGCAAAGTCATTGCATTCAGGAAAATTACACTGAGTGTAGGTGTATAGTTTGATCTTGCACTCATTATTTGCTTCTTTTATCTTGAATAACTAAAAATGACTTTTGTTAATGATAATGGATGGAGTTATGGTGCTAGTACCATAATTGACTTTACTGGTATAAAGAAATTTTTGTACCAGTAAAATACAAAGTTTTTACCATACAGAGGAAAAAAACTGTAATGTAAAGTTGATAAACACCAACCAACAAATCATTTCTCAAGCACGTTCATTGTTACCTCGTTAGAAAACATTTACCTTTGAAGACAAGGCTTGTGTCTGAGAATGCTTCTTTGAATGCCTTCTTTGGAGATTTTCTAGGAAAATACTGAGGCAGACTAAGAACTCTGAATGGACTATATTTCCCATCAAACCTACAAACAACCAGGGATTCCTCAGAACAAACTGCAGTGTCTCTAGGGAGAATGATGTAAGGGTGTCCTTGTTGCTGCCACAACCTGATTGTGAGATAAGCTGATGATGGATGGATGGATGGATGGATGGATGGATGGATGGATGGATGGATGGATGGATGGATGGATGGATGGATGGATGGATGGATGGATGGATGGATGGATGGATGGATGGATGGATGGATGGAAGATTTTTCTAAGGTTTTTTTGCTGTATTCAAATAAAGGCAAAAGCCAAAGGGTTGACCTTTTACATGTTTTTTATTCCTTTGTTTCTTCAAAGGCTAAGATAAAAGGTTTCAGTGGACAGTTTTCAATTTTCCAGAAAACCTTCAGGTTTTAGACTGGTCTTGAAAGAAAAAAAAAAGAAAGCCTGAAGTCTGAATGCGTTAATGGGCCTTACAGAACATGACAAGCGCTCCATTGCTCTCTGAAAACCACTGTTTCAAATGGCTTACAACATGTGGTGAAGGTTTGTGACTGCACAGAGCATGCTCAGCCGTGCTGCTGAGCTGCACGCTGTGACAAATGCCCCAGCCGCCAAGAGAAATGAGCCAAGCAGCCAAGCAAGAAGGGTAAAATGAAGGACAAGTTAAATGTTTGAATTCCCTGAAATATATGAAAAGTTGATAGAGACCACAGGAGGAAATAGGTATATTGTAATTGGTTTGTCAGATTTGATTTAGATGCACCTATTGCTGATTGGATAGGATGCAATGTGTGGTGTCAATTTGTCCCGAGCAGCACATCAGAAGTTTTTTAGAGTCAATTTTTACTTTGTCCTTCATAACAAACATAACTTTTCTGGCCCTTTTTGCAATGGGGGAAGTGATTGGAGGACAGTAGTTTCATGCTTGCCCAATTATCCACCTGCCCAACTCAACTTAATCTGACAAGTTTAACTTAGTCTGAAAAGCATGATTTTCTCCAAATTGCTGTATAAAATAAACATGACTTAAAATAAATTTCACAACTTAACACATTGAAATTGGGGCTCTGTCTCTTTCAGTTTATGTTCTTTCAATACATCATCACATCATCATTCCTCTATTAAGTGGCTACAAATGTTTGCTGAAGAACTGGACAAAAAGAAATAGTTCACATAATGAGATGCACAGTTCCACCAGGTGTTTACTAATTGCTGCAGGCTAGTCTAGGGCTGAGTGGGTGAGTTGTGGGGAAAGGGAGCACTGCACTGCAATGCAGAAGCTCAATTTGGAAACTGCTGATCAGAAGAGGAGCTGCGTGTGGAAGGTGGAGTGGGTAACTTACAGAACTTTGTGGAGATGCAATGCTTTTCAAACTTACCCCACACTGAGAAACTACTGTTTACATTCTAATGAGCCTGTTTTTTTTCAATATGCCAGATATTTAATCATAAATATGCAATATCCTGACACCACGGATTCCTGTGGTAGCTACATTAATCAGGGCAGAACCAATACAAATAAAATGTAATCTTAACCGGGAAAGACTGCACCCTTTTTTTCTTTCCATCAATCCAAGAAGAGAGAAAACATGATTGGAATGAGAAGAGAGGTTAAGAGGCTGACAGGTGACTCAGCGCTGTGGAGTGTGTGTGTGTGTGTGTGTGTGTGGGGGTGTGTGTGTGTGTGTGTGTGAAGCTGGCAGCACCTCACTCAACGCACGGTGAGCTTTATCACAAGCCCTGTCTCCAGACAAAACACACAGGAGCAAACAAGGACAACAGTGTTCCAACACTGACCCTGTGCACCCACACAGCGCACCGATGACTTCTTCATGGCACCATGCCACTAAAAACAAGCTGTGATTTACATTCCTACCAAGAAAGGGCCGCATTTTCTCACTTATCTGTGTTATTGTGGCTAAATAAACTTTACATTGCTTGGCACCAAATAATGACAGAAAGGCATTTTCCCCAAATGTGAGTTTATTTCTTTCTTTTTTTTTACTGACCACATGAGATGTTAAACTAGTGTATAGTGAGTGGTGTGATTAAGAGCACCAGCTGTAAACTCACTGCCTGACACTGATGCAAACCAGGCTGAGTATTGATTGACCACATCAATGAGAGGGAAAGGGAAAAAAAAGTCATCCGTTTTTCCACATGGAGAGAAGCTGAGATCTGCCCCACGTTTCAAGTCTGCCTGTTTCTTTTCAACACAAGGTTTTCTAGTGACTGAATCCATCCAAGACTTAGTGGAGCTTTTCAAACTGGACCGAAGCCGTAGCAGAACTTTACCCAGCCATGACGAATCTTCATTTTTCCTCCAGCTAAATGACCAGTTTTCCGGTGAGCAATGACTACAATCAAAAGACACAAAACAAGTCAGGAAGGCTCCCTTTGGTATCTCTGCAGGCAAAAAAAATATGATAAACTCATTTTATAGCATCAAGGGAGAAGCTATCCATTTTTATTGCTATTAATAAAACCATATTTTAGGGAAATAACTTGTTTATGTGAATTCCATGAATTTAGTAGAATAAATCGTTTTTTCTCACACAGAGGTAAAATTCAGGTGCAACAGCATACTCAGGTTCTGATTAACAATCACAACAGTATTAGTAATCATAACAATATATCATAAAAGATTATAATTTAACAATTCTATGCAGTGATTATAATAGAAAGATCACACTTTTGATTCTCTGGTAATAATGAGCAAAGTAGCTGTTCTCTATGATCTTAACTTCTATTCAACATGCAATTTATAAAAGGCTTTATTACGGGGATAATGACTTTGTCTCACCTCATAACATCTAAAAAAGAGTTTTATTATTCAACAAAACACCAAACTACAACAGCTGATAACAGAGAACAGACAATGAATTCCTTAACAAAGGAGTGAAAGCAAGTTTCCATTCTGAAATGAATGAGTCATTGTTAGTTTGATATTTGTTAATTGAGGTAGCATTGAAATACTGAGTCTTCTTGACACATTGTGAAGTCATTTTAGAGCACATTGCTTATGCAACCAAGTGATGGGCTACACCTTGGGTGTAGCCCATCACTTCCAAAGCCTAGTTGCTTTGGAAGCACTAGGCTGCTTCCCCTTTAATCTCAAAAAGAAAAAAGTCATGAAATGTCAAAATATCTACTTTATTAAATTCTGGGGAGCGACAATGTGAAAACAATTTCCTGGTTTTCTTTCCTGAATATTACCAGTAATTACACAGCAGCTTAAATGTAAAACCAAAAGCTGTCTGGACGTCTATATAAAAAAGTTCTTCCATATCTGAGGCGATATAGAGAATGTCTCAAAACAAACATTATGAGACTCTTGAAACTTGTTTCTTTGTTAAATAAGAAAACAAAAAAGGTGTTATCCTCCTTGTACCATCTCTTTATAAGTGCTTACAAAAACAACAGACCATAATCAGATGAGATCCTTAGAAAATTCCTCATTTATGGCCTTTTTACATGTAGAATTGGGTCAATTTCAAATAGGCAATTAACAACTGCTTAAGGATGACTGATGAAGAGACATTATGTCTCTGATGTGCAAATTAATGGCTGCTAATTATGTTTAATTTGTGTTCCCTAAAATAAAGTGTTATCCTACGGATTTACAAAAAATTTATCAAAAATATTCTAATCAAAAGCTTTACATACAATCATCAAGCTAAAATGCTAAATCAATTTGGACCTTTTTATGACATCTGTAATGATGAAAATCTTATATGACAGAGAACTTAAATGCTTCTAAATAGCTCAAGGTTTTTATTTATAAGGGATCTTCTCTAATCTATGTGACAAGAAATAAAACAATGAATATAAAAAAAATCTATAGGGGAGGTTATAGAAATAAACCCCCATCTTGCAAAATTTCTCAAAATCTAACGCACTATAGGGAGCCTTCTACTTCAGATTACTACAGATTATCTGACAGATTTGGTCTGAGCTTTGGTTTATGCCATAACTTCAGTTATACTCCAGTCAAATCTTCACCTTTCATAAATAAAAACACAAAACAAAACAGAAATTTGTTGTATAAGATTGAATTGTGTTTTTTCTTTCCTAATCCACACCTGGTCAACTTTATTCCTTGATGGCTCAAACTATAGAAATACACCCCTGTTTGCTTTTGAGTAATTATCCTTTTGTTCCTCAGTTCCATGCCTTTTCTGATTATTAACCATCTTTTGCCTTCAATCTGGCTCGATATTTGAGCAGTGTTCTTTTCGGCTGGAAACAGGAAGATGAAGATGAGTTTTAATTTTTAGCATCACTGTGAAACCAAGCAAACATCCAAATCAACAAAATGCTTTAACAAAAGAAAACAAGCGTTTATCCACAACGAAATACATTTTAGAGTTAGAAAAAAAAAAAAAAAACACGCTACAAACCTTGACATGTCCTCTCGTTGGTTAGCAACTTGTAGCCTTTCTTGCAGCTGCACTCGAAGCTGCCCACGGTGTTTCGGCACACGTGATCGCACCCCCCATTGTTCAGACGGCACTCGTCAATGTCTGCAAATAAAAAACCCAAATGAGTAGTGGGTAATTCAAATCACTCATCACAACTGAAAGGGTGAGATAAACCTGCAGAGGAAGCGGTAAATTAAACACTACACTGCTGTTTTAGCAGAAAGTAATCTACTTTTTGCAATGTTCATTAGGGGGCTGGCTCAAAATATATAATATAAATGTTAATAAATATATAAATATATTGTGTGGCTTTTAAACAGACAGCAGCTCCAGAGCATTGCCAAGGGTGGGGCAGATACAGTACAACAGAGATAATGACTTGATTTGTCATCTGTTCATCCTGGCTTTTCACTGTTATCTACTTTGGAACGTTTTAAAGAGATGAATTATGAATCTTTGTCACAAATATATTGTCTTTTTCTCAATGGATCCGTCATCATCTGGTTAAGATAAATCCAAAAGAAGTGGCATTAATGAATCAATCTCTTGCTTGCTCTGTTCATCTCTATCCCCTTCACAAGTGCCTCGCCTTAAGCGGGCGCCTGTCTTCTTGTGCCAATGCCACCTGGGTTTGTTTTCCTCTTGTTTCCCCCCCGAACCAAACTAATACGAGTCATTGTGGTTTTATCAGTGTTCATCTAACCTTACAGTCAAACAAAGCAGGCAGACGTCTAATTTTGCTCTTCTGGGAACAATCATGACTTTGTTTTACGAGTTTCCTTAGATGTTTCTGAAGAAAATTTGCCGATGGCTTATTGGACATGGGATCATATTTGTAGTTAATAAGCTTGAATAAACTAAATAAGAGAACATAAATCATCTTAATCATCATCTTTGAAAAACAAAAAACATTACCAACAGTTTGACAACTGAAGAAATGTCAGCATTTCAGAAGCAAGAGGATTCTATTTTTTCTCAAATACAGCTTGTTTCATATAAGGAAAGATAATACTTATTGTCAATCATAAAATGGTTTATCATGTTGGCCTAATTGATGTAGGATGGTTCTGTTTAAAGAAAGTTTGAAGTTTTGAAACTTTGCATTAACTTGGTGGAGATTTTTAACAAGGAAAAAAAAGAGAACGATGAATTCAGAGCCCCTGTGACCTTTTTTTAAAATACCAGAACCGTTGTGACAGAGCAGGACTAGAGAACTTGTGGGTCAAACAGCTGTAGTTCCCTGAACCAGATTGTGTTTCTGCACCAGTGTTTAATCACCTATGTCCCTCTTCCGAATTGAAGAATAATCCACTTTTGCTCTGTTGTATATGTGGGTGGTTTCTCACTTCAGGACCAAACCAAGCATGGGAAAAAAAAGTCCCTGGAGGTAGCTTTGCACATTTGTGGCAAAGAGAAAAAAACAAAACTTTTTGCAATAAAATAAAATTTTAAAATTAAGAATCTAAAAAAGTTTTCTCTACACAAAAAGATTTTTGAAATGAACTCTTGAGACTCAAGTCTGACTCAGCCTGGCCTTATCATGTTTGCTACTATCGTTTCGCTTTTCTCAGCAATATAGTCATATAGTTTGAGTTGAATATGATCGCAGATGACATCATGCAGAGTAGACCTTCATAAAGCATATGAAAGGTTATGTCTGGTGAATATGGATGCTGGTCTCTCAAAAAAATCTTCCTCAAAAAATATCTTCTCAGTAGCAGACAGTAATGCAAGATTGCAGTAAAAATATTTACAACCACAACTGCAAGCAGAAAACATCTTGACAAGTTTTTATTAATATAAAACTCCAGTAGGGGGGATGAGGACTACTATGCGTGGCAACAGGACAAACAAGAAATTAATTTCATGACAGCAGGACAGGTGCAGCATGAACGCCGCCCTGATGTGCGGTTGATGAGCGATTTACCTTTGCAAGTCTTGCGGTCTGGCTGGAGAGTGAAGCCGACAGGGCAGCTGCAGCGAACTCCTGTCACCGAGTCGTGACATGTGCTGTCGCAGCCGCCGTTGTTCACAGCACAGGTCTCTGCAAGGAACCAAGCAGGCAGATGAAAATACAAAGTAATTTGTTGCCCTGACCTACTTATTCAAACAGCATGCTTGTGTACTGGTGTTACAGCAAAAATTAGGAGCCACGCTATCATCTACAGAGTTAATATTGTCAACAGGAAGGGGTGATAGGAACAGCAAACTAATTAAATGTTCTGAAGCAGAGAGCGAGAAAAGAAAAAGAAATACTGGGAGCAGAATCGAACACAGCAGAATATTAGAAAAGAAATTTAAGGAGGTGTGGGGAAAAAGTAGTAACTGTGAAATGTAGTTAGCAAACACGGCTAAACAGAGATAGCTGTTTGAGAGGACTAAATATGTTTATGTGTATGTACATGTGTCTTTTTTGTCTGAATAAATGATGAGGATATGAAGAGAAACTACTCATTGCTCAACCAATTTTTTAAAGTGAACATAAAAGGCGAATCCACTCTGCTACAAGCTTAAATCAATAATAGTAGTAAAAGCTAGAAGTTAAGCACTGGTATAATGCAAACCATGCGATTGGATGTGTGCCCTGGTCATAAGCTCAGCATCCTCGACCGAGCAAGAAGTTTTATAGGTTGCACAACATTGCACGTCATAGAGAAAGTAGACCATGTAGCCCCCGAAAAACAAGGTGATCATAAAAAAGAGGTTTGCTTCTGGTTTTATTTGGAGCAAACCTCTAGTAAGTTGGAGAAATTAAGCACTCCACAAAGCTACAAAAGCTAGAACATATTCCTCATTATTACAAGAGCACCAGATGAATCATAGGGTTGGTTTTATTGCAGCAGACAGACTAATGCACAACTAAATCAATTAAATATTCATACAAACATGGTAACTAGGTCTCCAGAAAGTGAGCCAGCATGATATATTCTGATCTAGACTGTTTTGACTATTTTCCTTATAACTCTGGTCCTGTGATTTCTGACCTGTTTTGAATCCACTGACTGATTGCTTTTCTTCCCCAAAGACCATTACTACTTGTTAAACGCTTCAGCGTTCAGCTGAAATGTTGCCATCAACAGAGCTGCTTTTGTAATAATCTCTGTGAATTTTTTTGTTTTTTAGATCAAAAGTACTTGTATTCCAGGGTCCCTGTGTCCTTTGCTTCCCTTTTCTCTTATTCTTGAGCTGTTCACAGCCAATTGGCCTGGTTCTGGTCTTTAAAAAAGCTTTTTTCTGCTACCATGTGTTAGGAATCGCTGCAAAGTTAATGACTTGATGCGATCAAGCTTACTTATTACCAACTGGCAATACATAGCCAAATATATTAGAATTTGCTGCAAAATAATAAAAAATGAATTGGACTGTAGATATCTAGATCCAGAATTTGATTATATAATAGGATTGTATTAGAATGAAGTAAATTGATATGAACTGAATTGTGAACTGTTTGCAGCGTAAACTGTCTCCAGGTTTCGTCTTCAAACTGAGTTATTTGTGTTTGACAATTTGAAGATATTTCAGACTTGATACAGAAATGGAGAAAAATATTACATGGGTTAAACTATTTCTGAGTCTATCAAGAAATAGTTTAGCCCATGAGCTGTAGAATCTGTAATGACAGATTCTCTTTTCTGTCATTACAAATAGTGTAAAAAAAAAAAAACTACATTACGCAAGATAATATGCTTACATTAGTTAACGTGGAGGCTTTTTATGATTCTTCTGTCCACTTGAAATGTTTCTCTTTGGGTCGGTTGTTAGTGTCGTTGCCATGTGAACCTGTGTTGCTGAATCTGGGAGGAGTAGCTTCTGAAGGAGCTGCTCTATGTGGATCAGGATGGGTGTGTTTGTTTGGTTGATGAGTTCAAAAATCAACAGTTTTCCCCCGGAATGAGTCGCTCCACCCTGAAGTGATGTCTTTTTTTGATAGAGGCTTTCATTTATCCGTCTGCCACGGAGACACATTTCTCATGTAAACTTCGCGAGCGTTTTCATCAAGCTAAACAATCAAGGCGCAGATTTGCTCTGACTGGTCTTTGCAGGGGGAAGAAATCTCATGATGGTGTTTGATTATCCCAGTCTTAGACTGTAGAGCATAATGCTGTGGATTCAATAATTGCAGAGACTAGACAATAAGTCTAGTCTCTCCAACTAGTGTTGGGACACGCTTTCAAAATGCTCAGTCAGACCGCTGTCTCATCAAATTGTAATGATCATGTGTTATAGGAGTTACGAAAACTTTCTAACATTATGATTTTGTAAAAGCAGGAGACAGACAAACGGTCTGGTGTTTCTCTGTGTATTCTGGAAGCACGGCAGCCACATCGGCGCATCTACAGGGCTGGGACACGCAATTACAGTAAGAGTAGGCCATCTTTTGCAAATATTCTCCAATAAAGTGTTTGGTCTAAAGCTGATCCGCAGTAATATATGATACGCTGCTAAGACAGTGATCATAATCTCACAGAAACCACATGATTTCTAGCTACAGTAACTCTTGACTTGCATCAGAGATGATGACAAGCGTCTTGTTATTTGTGACAACCGCAGGAAAAATGCATAACCGGGTGAGCACACAAAATCCTCAAAAAGGCTAAAATCAGAGTGTTGCTCAGGATGGCTGACCTTGGTGCAGAAGATGCTCTTTTCAGAAAACCCTGGAGGTTCTTTCCCCCATAAATCAAGCCTGCATCTACAATAACTTTAGTCAGTTTGGACTTGTAAGATAACAGTCTAATGTATTCATCCCACTTGAAGCTTTTCACATTTTGTCATATTACTACTTACTACAAGACATACATCTAATGAATGAGGATTTTACAATAGATCAACACACAATTACTCCAGTCAATAATCTCCTATGATTGCTGACCAATTTTTTCCACTGGTGATTTATTCAAGTCTACCAGAATGAAAGGTTTCCTTTACGTCACACTAATCTCCAGCTCCATCCACAGATTGTCTAGCAGATTGGGAACTCCTTGAAAAAATCGGAACAGCCTTGGAATGGCATCCCAACTGTGACATTTTAAAGTTAATTGATATTCTCTACATCGGCCTGTCTGTTGGTGTGAATGGCTTCGTCAAAGTGGGTTTCTAATTGTGCCACACTTTTTCCATTTTCAGAGGACTGAATGAACAGTTCTGGGTTGGATGCTCAAAGGTGACCTGTCTTCTGTTTTCCTTGGCTCTTGTAATGCTATTTGCTACATAATGTTTTCTAAAACCTCCAAGACCTTTTGCAAACAGCTGGATTTCTACTGAGATCAAATTAGACATAGGTGCACTCCTTTTACTAGTTAGGTGACTTGTGAAGGTTACATTAAATTTTACTGAGTGACAGAGTAAAAACAAATAACTCTAACTACAAATGTATGTAAAAAAAAACCCCAAAACAACAACAAAAAAAAAACATTTGCTTCCACTTTACAGTTATGTTTACTATTGTATAAAATCCCAATGAAATACATTCAGCATTTGACTTTCTGGCTGTAATGAGGAAAAATGTGAAAAAGTTAAAGGGGTATGAGTACTTTTCCGTGGTTATGTAACTACTGCCTTGATTTGAACCCCCTTGAAAACACAGACAGACAAATCATACAAAGCAAAACATGGAAGAATGGGCTACAAATAGATCTGGGGCTTTTGGTACACAGACGATCAGAAGTTGAACCTATTTGAGCTGCACGCAAAACACGTCTCCCTATGTTTCATTTCTGAGAAATGACACAGAAACTAGGACACCAAATACTGAAATAGGTCAGACGGTTGTACTGTAGGATGTGTGGAAGTAAGCATTCATGTACATACAGTTGCAACAAATGGTACCTTAATCCCCTCATGTACTCTCTGTTCTTCCTCTGAATGGGCTGCTCCTCTGAGAGCAAACCTACTCTCCAAGTTTCTTACATAGTATCATTAAATTGTAAATCTCTTTGATATATCAGGGTTTGATACATCTTCACAGATTTATGACTTAATGTTTCTGCTGTCTTTGCTATTTCAATGAAAACGCATCCCATCCTGAAAATTGGGTTGAACTACTCAGCTGATATAATCACGTTTCAGTGCTCTCAGTGAAAGAAATCACTTTTGGCCACACAGCGAAAGATGAAACTCCTCAAATGGATTATGTTCTGGAGTTTTGGACATGATATTACATGCGTATAAAAAGAGGAGGCTCACTCAGTTCTGTGATTTATCTTTTGCATAAAGTAAATCTAAACCATGGACACATTATTGGCTTCCTCACTGCAGCTAATAGGCCATGATGATGGAGTTTAGGAACACCACGGAGGAGTGTTTGAAATGCTGCAAGCCTAATTTCACTCACATCAGTCATATCAAAACACAAATAAAGCAGAAGTCTTTGGTCTGACTCATAAAAGGAGCACAGTTAATCTGATTGTCTTGGACTTCTGGTAATCTAATTCGCTTTATATGCTAATGCATCCACAAACAGCACATCCGTGGCACAGTGGTGAGCTACAACATTAAATTTAAGAAACTGAAGGTAAAAGTTCAATGCTGCAGTCAGGTTCCACCATGGTGGTATGTATTAAACAAAAACCAAGTGGGAAAATCAAAAAGTTGATAAAAAAAACAAAACAAGTAAACTGCAAATTCCTCCTGATCATTTCAAAATACCAAAGACCTTCAAATTAAAGTATTTTTGCTTTTATTAGACTGTATGTCAAAGCTGAGTTCTTGCATTTCACATATAAAAATCATTTGTAAATATGAATCTGGATCGTATAATCTAGACAAATGATCACCAAAATGATAATCATAACTAGCAAAGCATACTGGAACAAATTATTAAACAAAGAAAAAATCTCAATTTAACCAACAGCCCAATGGTTGCAAAGAGAAGGCACTGACATTTTTATTTTCCCAAAGCCTAAGCAGAATGACATATAATTTGTCCTCAACTTTCTTATAAATAACAAAACATTGTTATGTGCTTAATGCAGTTTTGAACTGTTGTATAATATTTATTCAAATGTAAAAATAGAAGCGAAAATTATGCAAAATGACTAAATTTGATGTTTTCAAATAAATTGGCTGCGAAAACCAAAGCCTGATAAATAAAATACATCATCCATTTTAGTCAGATATGTACAAAACTGTCCATCTTGGTACATCATCAATTTTGAATGTTTGTTCAAATGTGGCATATGAAGACACATTTCTTTTTTTAACAGTAAAAAATAGAAAACAAAACAGAAAGCAAGAAGAAACAGAGAATTAAAACAGATCAAATGAATGAAACACCAGTTTATAATCCCAGATAGAAGTCCAGAAGGATTTGTGGCATTATTAAAATCCACAGTGCTGTGAAAAAGGATTTGCCCCTAAACTGCCAATACAAAACTTTCCACTTGCTAGTGTGCTTTGAAGCTTTGTCCTGTTCTATAACACAGGTTTCTTGACCTTTATGACACAAACTGCTGCCCAGACATCTTTCAGAATTTTCTGGAAGAGAGAAGCAATCACTGTTCCATCGGTTATGGCAGCCATCCAAGCCCTGATGCAGCAAAGGAGTCCTGGGCCATCACATCATCAACACCATGTTTGTGCTTCCACTGAAACGATGAAGGCGACCTTGTCACTGTACGCAACGAGATGCACACTTTCTGAAATAAGTCTCACTTTTGTTGAACATCTTTTAAATCAAAGCGTTGGGTATGACTTTCAGAAACCTTTTAGGAGACTTCATGTTTTCTGACAGGCTCTATGAAAGGGATTCCTTGATTCTGCAGGTGCAGCAGCAATCAGCTGTGGCTGTGGATGGTGAAACTGAGCTGCTCTTAACGCAGATTTGACCTTAGTCAAATCTGCGTTAAGATTCTACCCTCAGGTTATCTTAACCAATACATTTTTTACTATAAGGCGTCACAAAAAATACCAAAAACTGAAGAAAACTGTCGGGTAAAAAGAAGAATACTTAGGTAGATTTTTAGAAAGAAAACTGTAATATTTACTTAAATGTAAGAACTTTAGTCAATGTTAGTCAATAAATGTAGTCAATGTTTAGTCAATAAATCTGACATTTGTGATCCCAGCATAAGTTATGACATAAAACTCTTGTATTAGCCCATGTTGATTTATGTGGCCCAGAACAATAAAAAGACATCAGCATAAATATGCATATATATTGACATTTGGGGCTGACTGAGAAAATGTGTGGGTGTCAGAGACTTGAAGGCGATATCTGTGTGCCTCCCTGTGTGTCAGTACGAAACGCAGCACATCTGAAACATCTCTGTTATATAACTTCTCCGCAGCAGGTCACAGGCTCCCTGTTTAAAGCTGAGTTTGGAAAAGGTGTGGTTTAACACAGGCAGTGGCTGTTACTGAGAGGGCATTCACAGGAGGAAAAGGAAGCTGGTGGGGGGAGCCAGAGGTCAAAGGTCAGAAGGATGATGCCCCCACCCTCCCCATCCCTCAACAACATTGTCCTGAGGGGAGGGGCTTCATCAGTGACTGTAAAGTTAGACTGCTCTATTCCCCACACCCACAGACCCCCAGAGAGAGAGGGGAGCCAGATAAACACATATTTACCATTAGGGAACAGCTGTGGGGCTGCCTGGGACTGGACACTCCTCTCCCCTGCATGCACACACACACACATGCACACACACTTTAGTTTGGTGTGCACTTGAACGGGACAATGTAAAGGTGAGGTAACAGTATATCCTCCTTGTTCTAATTCGCAGTTTTGTAGATGTATAATAACCTCTTTTCTTAGAGATTTTGTGGCTGAAATAACAGCAATAAACGTTAAACAGGACGTTCCTATACAGTGTCCGAAGACACTGTATAGAAACGTCTATTGCCACATTCCAGTAACAAAATTAGATTTAGATTTTATTTGGATTTTATGTGATCTACCAGCACAACCGATGGTATAATTTTAAGGTGAAAGAATTTCCAACCAGACCCACAAAGTTCAATCGATTTTGCAAAGACAAATGTGCGAAATTTCAATCTCTAGATGTATAAAACACCCTAAGACACTTGTTGTTTATCAACTATTTTTTATCAACAGCTATGAATTAAATAGCTTATAGCCTATAGATGGCTGCCTAGATTTTCTTAGTTCATTTGGATTTTTTTTTCCGTTTTTGATAAAATTATCACTACAAGTCGTCTTCAAGCTTTGTAACCAGAACTAAATTTTAGTTCAGTTTCATTGCTTGTGCTGCTGTGAACAGTTTTCTCTTTTCCTTGAACTAATCAAGGCTTGTTCAGCTGCGTTTACAGAGAATAAGAATATTTCTTATATTAAAAGCCTCTACTTCACATCATCTACATCATTACATGTCAGTTGTGTACGTCGTTCCAGATGTCTTTGTTCATCAACTTATTTGCCTCGATGAAGGTTTATTCTGTTGGGCTTACTTTGTATTGCTTAATGTGTAAATTATGTAATCTGAACTTTCAAATTTGAGTCAAAATGACATTACCTCATTTAAAGTGTGAAAATGGGTTTTTCCCACATCATTTATCTGACAAATAGCCCAATACAGGTGCAGAGATTGATTTAGTTCAAATAAAAAAAATAAAAAAAACTTAGGTGAATTTTTTAATGGACTGCATGAACAGTAATAATAAAAAATATGTCTTCTGCACCAAGTTTCTTTAATCTTTGTTTATACCAACAGGAGACGACACAGATACAACAGAATGACTTGATATTTTTTCAAGAAATTAGATTCAGCCTCTCCAAGGACACAATTCAACAGAAAGTCGTTATCATACATTAAATCCTGAAAACAAAGGGACAATGACAAGTTTTTTTTTTTTTTGCTTAAACTAAAATAAAGGTGACATATCAAGGCAAAAGTGTTACCTCGCAACATGCAGTCATGCAAATAAATGTTTCACACACTGCCGACAAAAAGACATTTTTGCTGTTTGCGTATGAGAGGAGGCTTCTGCTGGTTAGTATGAGCCTTGACAGACAGATCAAGTGGTGGTTAGTGTTGCAAAAGAGCTGAAATTCATGGACAGCCATACTCAGTTCTGCACTTTATGGAGTCTTTTAAGATCTTTGATGGTTATATCATTCAGGAATTCAGTTTATAAGGCTGTTTTGCAAAAAACACTGTTGGCGGCTTGATAGCGGCAGTGCTGTCACTAAAAGCTGCAGCAGAGAAATTAGCTTTTTATGATAATTTCAATTTCAATTTACAGTGAATAAAGTTTACTGTAAATCTGATTGGTGAGGTTTTCCAACTTATGAACTACTTTAATTTAGAATCAACACTGACCGTTGACGTATGGTGCCAAAGTATTTCCACCCTTTTAATGTGTCACATTTTGTCATATTGCTCGCAAAAGTTTTAATGTATTTCATTTGGACTTTAAGGGAAACACAATACAGCATATTTGCACAGTGAAATGGTTTAACCCTCTCCAGGCAGGTGTTGCAGATTTGCAACAACTTAGCCAGTCTTTTCAAGTAATTTGAGCCTGAGAGGGTTAAACGTTTTTACAAATAAAATCTGAAAGATATGGCATGCAGTTGTAGTCACCATCCCATCCCCAACTTGAGTCAGTGCGCATAGAAATCCTTTGGGTGGCTCTTCCAGCTTTGCACATCTAAAAACTAAAGTTTTCAGCCATTCTATTTTGAAAATGATCTCAAGCAACATCTGATTAGATCCAGAGTGTGTCCCATCATCAATTTCACTCTCCCATAAATCCTCAATTAGGTTTGGACTTTGACAGGAATGCTGGAATTCCCCCTTGCCTCGAGATTTTTGCTTCCTCTAACTGGTTTTCTTTCCTGGGTTTAGCTCCAACTATCCTCCACAAAGGTAATGATGAAAAGCTGTGTTGAGTATAATGTGCTAGAATACTGTTTCCCAACCCTGGTCCTCAAGGTACACTGTCCTGTATGTACTAGGTGTCTCCTTACTTCAGTTCAGCTGATTTCACTTGTTGTCTGATTAACAGGCATTTGTTAAACTGAATTATCTGAAACAGGAGTTTTAAAGAAGATAGACATCTAAACAATGCAGGGCAGTGTGGCATGAGGACCAGGGTTGGGAAGCACTCATATTTGCATATTGAGCAAAAAGGTACATTTCTACTTGACTGGTGAAAGCATTTTCTTCCAATTTCTGCCAACACAATCTGAGACTGTAGGGTTAAAGCGCTTCAGGTCATATCTATAGATCTAGCAACATGAACTGTGGAGCTCTTTCTTGGTATGCTTCCATTTGTTTTTGTGTTGAACTGCACACTGCAGTATGTTCAAAGCTGGAGATATTGTTTTATAATCTAATGCTGCTTTAAAAGTCTCCACAACTTTGACCCTGATAAGTCTGTTGTGTTTGTTGCAGTTTGTTCACTGATACTTTCCAAATCACCTCTAAGTTCTTCACAGAGCAGTTGTATTTATCCTGGGACTAAAATACACTCAGGTAGACTATGGTTAATAATTAGAGGATTCTGAAGACAATTGGTTGAACTATAATATATTTAGGGGTATCAAAATAAAGAGGTATTGCCACATTTGTCAGAATTTTTTTTTGCAACAACTTTAAACCAGATATCTTTTCAGCTCCACTTAACATTTTTATAACACTCTTTTGGTTTTTAGCATAGAGTTGAAATAAAAAACAATTTAGTTCACAATATCAGGAAAACCTACCATTGGTGAACAATTTGACTTGTAATAAATAAACAGATAATTAAATTGTGTTCAAGTCTTTCTGTACTTGAGTTTATAGAAAACATAGAGCCCAGATAAGGTGCATGGGTATCCCAGCTACTGGGGGAAATAAATCCTTTTTTCCAACTTAGCAACAAGGTTTTATTGAAAAAGTTGTTTCTGGCTCTTTTGACAATGAAGAAACTTAGTTATTTCTTAATGAGTTGACTACCTTACCAGATGCTTACTTCAGAAACATTTATGTTGCATTACATGTATAGCACACTGGAGTGCAAAGTATTTGCATAATTAGCAGTTCTTTGGGATATGATATTGCATACAGAAGAAGTAGATTAATCATAAATTGATGTCATGCAACCCTATCGATTTGATGCCTAGTTTGCAGTTTTGATATAATTTTAGAGACTCACTTGAATTATTTGTGTTTTACTGTATATTGAAAATGTAATTTCCACCCTGAAACCAAAATATTTCCCAGAATGCCATCACGGCATCCACAGGTGGCCCTTTTCAGGTGAATCTGATGCTGAAGTAAAGAGGGTAACAGCAAAGGCATGCATAGATCAGACAACATTTCCCTGTCCCAACATGCAGCATCCAAAAAACAGTTTTACGTACAGGGTGATGTGCAACACAAGTGGGAATCCTGACCACCCACAGCACTCTTATGGACGTATGCATGTAACCTGCACGTGTTTACATGCATGGATTTATGTAGGATTGGATATGTTTGTGTCCCTGTTTTTATGGTTTTCATTCATAAAATGCGTCTCTCATACTGTTTGTGTGTGCGTTGCGTTGTTTGGCTGACTCTTCAAATGACTGAACTCCTGCATCTGCCTGCTATTTGTGAGTGTTTATGATTTGCTGTGCTAACAACATAAATGCCACCACATGATGACTTCTCATCTCTGATATCTGAACTTTCCTGTTGCACACCACCACAAATAAAACTTGTGAAAAATCGAACTTCAAAGACTTTGTGTTTGTGAACGTTTTGTCTAAAGGGCAGCAGTGTATGTGTTGCTTCCATACAAGCCTTCTAGATGCAGCAAGCAGGACACCAACGGAAATGAAACAGGCAGAATGAAAAATGAGGATTCAAACAGAGCGACGCATGGCGCATTATTAAAGATAAACATGAGTAACCCTTGGTTAAGGAGAATCACCACAAAACAAATGATTGAAACTGTGACAGAATACACATAAAATCACTTAAAGAAAAAAAGCTGCAGCATACTGTCCACCAGCAAAATCCGAAAAAAAAAGCAAAATGCCTTTGGAGATTATCTGCTGGATACACTGGCTTACAAGAAAGGAAGTATGTTCCACAGAGACATTCATAAAGTTTTAATTTTGGCATTTCGATGGGAAATTAGATTTCATGGCTAAATATAAAGTTACCTCTTGCTTTTTGTTTTACCCAGATGGATGACTTATTGAATTAAAGCTGGCATAGAAAACCGAAATATTATATACACACCAATTTTGATTTCAAAATGTTTCAGTATGTTTTGAATTTAAAGTAAACTTTTTAATCCTATAAAGTTTTTCCAGTGCAGAGTTTCCTTGATCAGACTGCACCATCATCCTTGTCGTTCACTTTTTCATCAGTGGTTTCTATGAGTGTTTGCTTTGATTGAGACTTTAAGTAATACAGAGAGCAAGAAATGGAGTGCCCTCGAGCCAGCCGCGGCGTATGGCTCCCTCACCGCTGCAACCCCAGACTCTGTGGGGGGAAATCTGAGATTTTAACTGGCTGACTGCTTCCTAATCTGGCACAACAAACGTGCATTTGCTCTGCCTCAAAAACGACTGGCAAAGACGTATAATTTGGTTGAGGTCAACTTTGTGGTATCATCCTGGCCTACGGGGCTACAGCAATAATGACAGGTTGGCTGACCAGACCTTGACATGGGTCTGGCTCTCATCAGGACTGCGGTCGTGAGAGGGATCCAGAAACACTGAGCTAATCAGGCGCTACTCAAACCATGCTCTCAAACTTAACAGCCGCTGAAACCAAGCACCAACGTCACCGGGCTGTGCTGCAAACGAACCTACCAAAATCAATTTGATGCTCATCTTGATTCAGGATAGGTCTTATCCAACCTGTTCAAAATCTAATTTTAAGCTCAGAGAACTGCAGACAATAACTCCGCTCATTGATTAAATACAGTGCTGTAAGAAGTTTGCATAACTTTTTCACATTTTCTTGTGTTGCAAACCACAAACTTCAATGAACTTTACTGGGTTTTAATGTTAGACCAACAAAAAAGTGTATAATTGTGAACTGGATAAAAAAAAATACATGGATAGATAGTTTATTTTACAAATAAAAAAATCTGAAAAGGGTTGGGTGCATTTGTTTTAAAAGCAGAATGATGTAGTCCCCATCTTTTAATCTTTTGGGGCATTTGGCTAATGGATTCAGAGCATCATCCTGATGACTGCCTCTCTTATGGCAAGATTTTAACATTTAATAGCCAGGGGTTCTTTTTAGCTAAATATCCATCATTCTACTCTTCCTGGTAAGAATATACTTTTCAAATAAACCCAAGAACATTTTAGCTATCTCAAATGACATCATATTTTCTTTTTAAAGTTTTTGGGTTTGCAGCAACAAATCCATTCTTTCTGCCTGGGGAGTGACATTGTGGTAAGATGAAATGTAAAGTTTTATATAAAGATCCATAGTCCAATAAATAAATAAAATATTTTTTTCTTTTTTTAATCTAAAAAGAAAAATTGCTCTCTTGTAATGTTAAAACGTCTTGTGATAGCAGCCAAATGAGCAGCTGTTGCAGCTGCATGAGATTGTTATTGGTTAGCGTTCAGTTTGAACTAACCATACATAAATGTCAATTTTTCAACATTTTCTTAGCAAGCTGAACTGTCCTGGAGTGAAAAAACTCTGAAGTTAAGTGAGCTTTTAAAACACATCAAAAGCCTTGAATCTCAAGCCTCCGAAAAACAGATTTTCTTCTTGTAATATGGTGATGTGCAGTTTTCATTTTCCTCCACACATGTAGTCTTTGCGTGCAGGCTAAAAAGTTGAATGTTGGTCCAATTCTGCCAAATCTTTCATGTGTTCCTTATTTAGTTTGTGGCAAACTCCAGATGGGAGGAACAACTCTCTCTTGACAATAGCTGAGTTTTTGACAGACTTGTCCACTGCACCACTAAAAGTTGTTACCACCGGTCTGTTCTGATTATCACCCTCCTTGCTTCTAGCCTGTCATTTTAGTACCACGGCCGTGGCTTTTTAGGTTTGGAGTCGTGATATCTTTTCTTTTTGACATAATGGATGGATGAGGGTTAAGTGAGATGTTGAAAGCTTGAAATAATGTTTTATTACCCAACTAATCTGCTTTAAACTTCTCCACAACTTTATTCTCTGCCACTCTGAGGTGACTTCTGAAGGCAGCTGGTTAACTTTTTTTCAAAATTATTATTCAGTACCATCAGAGTAAAACGGCCCGAGTACAAATTTCTGATTTGTGAAATTGCTTAATAACTTAATACTATTTTCTTTCCAATTCACAATTATGCAGTACCATATGTTTATCTATCACATAAAGTTCAATAAAATAAATGGACCTAATGTTTAACAGTTGAAGGTGTATGAAGATGTTTTTACCAGGCAGTGGAGGTGAAAAACAAAAGTTGTACTGCTACTTTGGTTCTGGTGCATTAGCACCAGATTTATTTCTACTCCATCACTGAAATATCAACAATCTTCTGCATGGTTATACACATCCATCAAGCACTATGCTCCCACTCTCCTGGACACACACTGTCTGGTTAAAAAGTGCCCTTCAGAACGGCTCAATACGATCCGAGTAGCCAATAAATTTTCCCTCAAACTAAACAACCTGAGGCAAACACTGATACATGCCAGCGGAAGGTTAGATCAGGTGCGTGAGTTAATCTCAGACAGGAAGCAGTGAAGTAAGTGACCCGCAGGTTGAAAGAGGGTGTGTGTTTCTGACATGACTGTGGAAAACAGAGAGAGAAAAAGACAGCGTCCAGTAAAAAGTCGGAGGAAGAGAGGCAGAAGCAGATGCAGGAGCGAGGCGTTTACTCTGAAGGAGCACTAAAAGGAGAACAGTGAACGGTAGCCCTTTGACCTTGCATGTCACGGATCATTAGAAAAAGTTCAGCAATATCTCTTAAATGTAACAAAGCCTGCCTCTCAGCTTGCATTTTATCACGTAAAACCCCATTTTAAATGTTAATTAAATTTGCTCAGATCTCACTGCGCTGTAATTTCCTCATTCAACAAGAATTATTTCCTGCCATTTGTGGTTGTTTCTGGATGAGATGACTCACCTACACAAGTCTTTCCATCGCTGTGGAGGACAAACTTCATGTGGCAGGAACATTTGGGGCCATGGTCCGTCTCCTCGCAGATGTGCTGGCAGCCTCCATTGCCGTAGTTGCACGTCACTATGAAAGGAGGCAGGAGTAAACACGAGCTAATTAAAGAGGAGTGAGCACATAACTTTTTCTCAAATTTTTAACAGTCAGCGAGGAGGTGTCAGGAAGTGGAGAACGAGTAAATAACATGCAACTCTTTCACTGTGCCATATGCTCCATCGCAAAAACACTGAACTTAGGTTGCACCCAGTCGTTCCCATGGCTTCAAAGACACATTTAGTGTGTCTTTGAACATAGGTATGTCTCCTAGACATACCTATGTTTGTTTCAGAAAGAACTGATTGTTGCCTGAACTACTACTAATGCAGAGATTAAATGTCAACCCTGTTTCAATGGAGCAATGGTAGCAAACAAGTGATCATTTTCTTGCTATATGATCAGCTGCTCAGTAATAGGACCAAATCTATTCCTCAGTAAATACACTACTCAATACCTGTACTTCACCCTTGGTTAAACTGTAAAATGTCCTAAAATAAATGTAATTTTGAAGCAGAAGTATAAGTCCAATCTTTAATTTTAAGACATTTAATCACTAAGGAAATTTCTTGCAGCACTGATGTCAGTACAACGTTCTCCTTCTTCTGTTTTGATATTAGTTTTACAGGCAGCACTAGTAAATCAAACATCAAAAACACATTAATTATCACAGCAGTTTTGCCCCACATACAAAAAGACATACCTAGGACTTATTATGGTTAATCTCAAAAGATAGAACAGAAGAATTGTTTAGGAAAACAGATCTTTGCAAATTAGCAGTGTCATATTATGAGGAAGAGATCAAATCAAATTGTCTGGTTTTAATGCATGAATGATCTGAAATAATGTAAATTTAACTGATCAAAACTACACATGACTTCATTATTTATGTTGATGCAAAAAAATTGAAAGTCTATAAAACTTATGTACAAAATTTGATTGTGACACAGAATATTTCATCACGACTGGGTGAAAGCAAACGTACTGCTTGGCTAGTGCCTTCAAAAATCTAAATGTATGCAGACAGAAGCCAAAGGGGGAAACATTTTATTTAATTATAGGGAATAATTCCCTCTTGTTTTCAGCACTCATTACAATCAATACAAAAGCCACCTTAGCTGAGTATGAACTGTGAGATTAGGAGGGAAATCTGACAAGTTCAGTTCATTTTGCAGCAATTCATGAATCATAACAGGAAACCTTTGATTTTTACTGCAATTGTGCATGTTTCTGTGGAGCACATTTATGGAGCAGAGCGAATAAGGAGCTTAACCTTTCAAAGAAACCTGTGATGACAGAGTGAAAAAGAGCATGGTTGAGCCGAGGCTTCCATCGTCATCCTATCTGAACTCTCCCATCCCAACACCTTTCGCCTTTTTCCTGAGCTGTCATTGAGAAACCATAGAACAACACTTCTCCAATCCTTATCCAAACACAGACAAATCCCCCCAGCCCCTATCAGTCCCTGGCCCCCAGCTCTGACAGGATGATCTCTGTTGCACGACAACAGGAAGTGCGCGCTGTCTGTCCAAGCAGTCCCCTTCGACTGACCTCCAACGCTTGCTCCGGTTGTGTAAATGATCCCTACTTATTTGAAAAGCATGTTTCTTTTTTTATTTTTTACAAGCACTATTGAGAAGATTAGTCAGAGCTCAGTAATGCCACATAAATGTCAACTTCAAACTTTTTTTGGAAGACGTTTGTGTGGTGAGTGCGATTATCCATCCCCGGCCTGTTTCCAAACCACAATCACCTTCTTCCTGAGGAGCCAATAAAGCAGCCATACTGACATTTGTGCATGTTTCCATGCAACCCCTGGGGTTAGGATGACTTACGTTTGCAGTCCTTCATGTTCCGGGTGAGCTGGAATCCAGGTCGGCACTCACAGGAGATGCCACCCTTCTGCGCTTCCCTGCAGATGTGTGCGCAGCCGTGGTTCTTGTCCATGCAGGTGGGCCCCTCCTTTGTGCCTTCTGGTTGCACTGTGAAGAAAACAGCAGGACATGTATGGTTTGCAGAGAAAGTTTACCTCTCAGCTGCCATGAAGATTAGACATGGCAGCTGAGCTTTCCGTAAAACCAAGAGTTTGGTTCACATCAAATATCACATAGATAGTAAGTGGACTACAAATGTTCAAATGCCTGTCACGCATTTTGACCTAAGCAGCCTTGTACGTCTGCTGACTGCTGGTGACTGACATGCTCAGTATCCCTTCACAAAGAGTCAGGTTCTTGTTGGAGCATGCTTACTGTTTCCAGGCTATAAAAAGAAAGGCTGCCAAGAGAAAAGGATAAAACTCCCAGCAGGAGCTGATTCCATAGAGCTGTAATTTTAATTGGAGTAATCCCCCATAAAGAAAAGAAACACAAAAAAACTCCCCCAGCAGAGAATGAGATCAAAACTCATTCCAGTAAATTAAGGTTGTCAGTGTACACTTTCATGACTCAAAGCATGACCTTCGTCTGCAAGTATTTGACTAAACTATTGCAACACAAATTTCTGAAAGATGAATGTTAGATTATTTTATTGCAGATATAACAAGCACCTGAAGCGTTCCAAAGCCCTCATGCCATAAATTACACAGCACCCTTTGCAATTATTGCTACCTTTTTAAGCATCTGTTTGAAATCCCTAAAATAAACACTTCCTATGGTGACTGACAGCACGGTGTCACCGAAGATCTCAAATCCGTGCAGATTTTCTTTCCCTCTCGTATCATCTTCCTAACTGTCCATGATGGCAAGAATTACCCTGGACAAACGTGATATTTGTCCAGCGTAATTTAATGCAGTTCCACTTGATACTATTTTTTTAATTATGCTTCTGACTATGAATGTGGGTAATTTTAAGTAAGTAACATCAGTATAAATGGCATGTTTTCTTGTTAGAGGCCTGAAGAAATGGAAAATATGTCAAACTTTGTTTGTACTAAAGGGAAACAAGATGTCATGGATTAATAATCAAAGGGATTATAGAGTTTTATAATATTCTCATGGTTGATCTGTGAAAAGCTTAGAGCTTTTGATAATGGCTTTTTTTTGTTTGTTTGTTTTGTTTTTATTTTCTGCTTTATACCTTTACACAACTTCATTCCTGACCTGTCTGCTGTGCTCCTTGAACTTCATGGTGCAGTGTTTTCATTAATGTTTTTGAGCAAACCTCTGAAATCCTCACAGATCTGCTTTATTGTCACTGAAATTAAATTGTACAAAAGATACAATCTATTACTATGATATCTGGTGCACTTGTTTTACATTTCCCCTCCCAATTATACCTTACTTTCTGCCAGTCTATCAAAAAAGATCCCAATAAAAATAAGGAAAGGTTTGTGATTGTAAGTAAAAGTGGTGTGAATAACTTTGCACTTTGCAAGACACTGCATGTCTGCTTATACTGATGGCACTGATATTGAGTTGGCTTACCTAATCAAGGCTCCTGACCTTCTGACTAATGTGCTGTCCATCACTTTAAGTCTGTCAACAAGCATATGAAGGTTATGCAATCCTCTCCCACTTTCCTGTCAGATTTGTTTACATCCTTGACAAGACGCTGGGGCCATCAGACACGAACGCCCAAATGAAAAAGGCCCTGCTAAGCTGAATGTGCGTCAACGTATCTGATTGTCTAAAGTGCAAGGATTTCCACAGCTTGCTACATGGATGTCTTCAGCCAATGTGGAGTTTCCTGGTGTCTTTTCTCTGCTTCTATCTGCACCCAGAGCAGAATGCATTCATCCATTTACACCAGAGTAAATTGCCTGTAGCCATTTATGTTTACTGACCAACGTGGTTATCTGAATTCATAATCTCATATCAATGTGAATTCAACACACCCACCTATCCATAACATGTGAGACTGAGGCCAAAACCTGGCTCCTCGTCTCTCTGAGGACCAATTCAGAGGCATATTACTTACTGGCAGAAAGAAGCCAATATTTTACAAAGAAAAAGCAAAATGTTAAAACAAAACACACAATCAGTAAATCAGACTTTCTACTAAACGGTAACCCATGTTTCTGTTTATTAGAAACCACTTCATATTCAGAAATCTGGACAGGAAACAGACCTTTTGCTGAGTAAGGCTAATTTAAATGGCATCTAAAGAGCAAATCAGAGGGGATATGGTTTTTCACAAAGCTTAACACCAAACGAATCCATCCATTTTCAGCACTTGTGGTAAACAGGGAATATTGCAACGAAAGAGCATGTTAAAGTGCCCATAACTCTGTCCTCCCATCACAGCATGTGACCTCTGAACAAAACACTTAAAGGTAATACTGCTGCCAAAAGCCAACACATTTCAGGTTTTATTTGTGAATTATAAGATTTGATAACTACCTGCAGAAGGAATAACCAGCAGACTTATCAATGCAACACAAAAACCAGTTTACTATCAACCTTTTTCACAAGAATGTGATCCAGAAAAATGCACGGAAAAACACCTGGCATCATGATAGAACCAGGTTTTAGATGTAAAGTTGCTAAAATGTGACACTAAGCATAACTTGGGGGTTTTATCAGTGTGTTTCTTGCTCTTCAAGATAGCTGCGTGCTTTTCTTAATAGTCAAAAAAATTTCTCTCTTTAAAAGTTTTGTTTTTTTGTTTTTCTTATCTATCTTTTCTTTCAAATCCACAAGAAACAGATTAGTTTCTTAATATCCATCTGATGCCGTAAACACTTTTTTTAATTTGTTAAGTTTCTAGTACTTATTTTCATACCTACAGAAATAAACCACGTAGTCCTCTGGGAGGAAGCAACTAGGATAAGGTATTTTTTTATTTTTCTTGAACAGGACTCAATTTGTGTGTTTGCCATTAACTTAATGGAAGTTCAGCTTCATCAGCAGGAGTAACTGCAGGACATGACATTAAATGAACAACACCAGTAGAATCCTAAAACATTGCGCTTTTGACTCTTTGTGATGCCACGCTGACATTCATTATGCACATTTCCCAGCCCAAATACGCCCTTGAATGCCCCATGGGCAGAGAAACTGCACTTTACAACTGTGTTTATCAGCCAGACGACATGATAATGAGACATTTTTAAAGGTGTGTTATTAAGCCTGATAAGGTCTGACAAAAAAAAATTAAAATACTTGAAACAAAAGGGATCAAGGACACGTCTTCCTCTTCTCAGAGGAAGACGGGACAAAGTGTCTGAACAAGTGATGATTTTAGACTGATTTTATTTCACCAAAGACATTTCACAATAAAAACAAGATGAGACAGATGTTGATTTAGCTTGTTTCTTTGCATGATAAACAAAATGAGATCACTTTTTCAACATCTACCAACCTACCTGCCTACCTCATGTTTGGCACACATAAAACAGAGGAAGTTGCAGACATAAAACTTTTTGCTCATATCTTTTGAGATTTTGTTTCTTATTTAACAGGTGGCACACATTGATTGAGGTTTGGGGATCAACCTCGGACTGCACAGTGACACAGTTAGTACTGTTGCCTTGCAGCAAAAAGGTCCTGGGTTCGATTCCCGGCTGTTTTTTTTCTTTACATGTTCTCCCTGTGCATGCGTGGGTTCTCTCCAGGTACTCCAGCTTCCTCCCACAGTCCAAAAACATGACTGACAGGTAAATTGGTCTTTCCAAATTCTCCCTGGGTGTGAGAGTGTGTGTGAGTGGTCGTTTATCCTGTCTGTCTCTGTGTTGCCCTGCGACAGACTGGTGACCTCTTGCCCGAAATGTCTTCCTGGAGATAGTGTTATGGCCCTGGGCCTTAAGGGCGGGGCTGCAGGTGTTGGTGCTCTTCCCCTTTGCAGGTGTTTCTGATCCGTTGATCTAGAGCACAGAGTATTTGAACCATCCCCGTCCACTGTGCCGCTTGTGGTGTTTTGTTGCCAGGCCTCAGCTCTCCTCCTTTTGCACATCTGAGTGTCTGTTTTTGCACCTCAACACTTCCATATGCACTCACATCCAAGCATTCGAATTGCACCACTGATACTGACATCCACAATCCATTGTTGCTTTTGTTAATAAATATTCCCTTTCATGCACTTTAACCACTGCACGGTCTCCCGTTTTGTTGTGACTTTGAGCCAGTCGTAATTATAGGCACCAGCACCCCTCCCGACCCTAAAAGGGTGTTAGAAAATAGATGGATGGATCAACCTCTTTAAAAGCAGCTGTACACTGGATGTTCTTTTTTTTTCTTACCAGTTCACTTTGCAGCTGTGAGGCATCTGCACTGGATTTTCAGCCAAAATGGTGTTATTTTGTCAAGTAGGCATCTACTTGGCTATGATGAATTTCTCTTTTGCTAGTAGGAAACATTAAATCTGGTTTGTAGATTACCAGTGGGCATGGTTTGCAGTTGATAGGGTGTCATCATCAATGGAAGCCCTTGACCATCTTCTGTGGGTGGATGTAATCGGCTGCCGTTTTGTTTCCTGGTTAATTGTGTGACTGTTCTAGTTTTGGTTGGGTAACTCCCTCCTTTACTCACTCAGCGTGCTACCCCCATGGGATTGTGGGCGGAGGTTATTTGGGGCGGAAATCTGCTCCCTAAATTGCAGATGTGTGGATGTGTGTGTGTGTGACAGCATATGTGCAGTTCTTAGCAGTAGATGGTGGTGAATTTCTTTCCACTTGTTGGTGGTGAGCACGCTGGGTGATTTTTTGTTTGTTTGTTCTTAGCTAATACAACTTCTGTCTTGCCTTTTTAAAAAGAAATTTGCATTTTAAATGTATGAAGTAAAATAATTTTGTGGTTGCTTGTAATGTTTAAATGCCCCAACGTGGTGATATTAGAAATATATTTTTATTTTAGGTTGCCAAAAATAACATTTTGTATTCATAATTTAATACCCACAATCTTCCATGGACATTTAAAATTTTGATTGACCTGATGGTTTTGAAGGGTTAAGGCAATTTTTTTTATGTATTTTGGTGATAAGTCATTCGGTGATTAATAAACCACATCCCTGTAAATCGGTACTTCAAGTCCATTCTTTGAGCTACAGG